GAGATGCTGGAGGACAATATAATCTCGGTAATTGTTATTATTATGGTGTAGGAACTCAAAAAGATGAGAAAAAAGCATTTGAGTGGTATTTGAAATCAGCAGAGGGTGGTGATGCTGGAGGACAATATAATCTCGGTAATTGTTATTATTATGGTGTAGGAACTCAAAAAGACGAGAAAAAAGCATTTGAGTTGTATTTGAAATCAGCAGAGGGTGATGATATTAGAGGACAACTTAATCTCGGTTGGTGTTATTATTATGGTGATGGAACATATAGAGATACAAAGAAAGCCTTTTCTTGTTTCAAGAAAGCAGCCGAGTCAGAGGATGTTGATGCTCGATATGCTCAATATTATTTTGCAGAATGTTACTTTCAAGGAAATGGAATAAATAGAAATGAGAGAAAAGCCTTTGAATGGTATGTAAGATCCGCAGAATGTGATAACCAATATTCTCAATTCAAATTAGCAGAATGTTATCAATATGGCTTTGGAGTTCCCAAAGATCTCGATATAGCATTGAAATGGTATAAAAAGGCCCATGATAATGGTCATGACCGTGCAGCAGAGCTAGTTGAGTCGTTTAATTTCGAAAGAATATATTCAGTTTTTTGTATTTAGTGAGTTTACAGATATTTTACGAAGAACCTTTTTCAAATGTTTATTTTTTATACATAATGTATCTTTATTATTTATATTATTTACTATTAAAATTTTTAAATACAGCGCATTTCGATATATATTGCAAAAACTATATTATACGATTCGAGTTTTTGTTCTTACAATTTCTACAATAAATTTTTCAATGTTTAGTTATTAAAATTATGGCCACTTACTTAGATAACATGTGGTAAGAAATTTGTTAATTGCAAGATAGTGTAGTTTGCCAAATTACGAACAAAGATATTAGCAAAGATTGAATATTATGAAAAATTTAAAGTGGTAATAAATATATGTAATATTACCGTTTATGTTCAATTTTTCAAATCTATGTTGTCGGTCAAATACATGTAGATATTTTACAGTCCAACAGTAACGTCAAACATAGACACATCTAAGCTATTACCATAACGGTAAGAAGTGCTAAAATCAGGTCCAAACTGAGCTAAAGCATTATTTCCGAATAATGAACCATGTATTACTGTTTAACCTTTATTATCACATAGACGACGAAATCAGCATTCGTAAATCCATCACGACTGCTTCGCAATATAGATCAATTCAAGTGATTCATTTTCACGTTTATCAAATTCATTTAACCATTCAATTATTTTACTCTGTGAAATGATCAAAAAAAGGGTTTACGAACTGGGTGTAAAGTAGTGAACCTAATAATTTTCTGCCAAACGAATAATTCACGATTCACAGTGTAGTTTCTCCAAAACTCTTATAAAAAGAATGGCTTTGACTGGTATTTTGAGAAACTCTCATTAAGCATCTTTGCATTCATTCAAAATTAGGTCATCCTGAAATTGGTAAAGTTAGACGACTGGAAAACAGCTGCTGGATGTGTAGTCTGCGCAAAATTTGTGAAACCGAGTAAAAGAACTCGAATGCAGTCTGATTGGTTACGGCAAATTCCTCAGTTAAATGTTTTTGAGCAGATATTTGATCAGATCCTCATTAGCAGCGATTAATAAATAAATCCAAAGCCATATACTGTAAATTAAACATTATCGTTATTTGGCTATACTTAGTTTCATTGCTTTTTAACATGACCCAAAACTTCTGAATAAGCTGCAAATGGTTGAATAATTTGATTTTCATCAAAAATTAAAAAGTTGAATATCAAATTCGTTATATTATACTATTGATAACGATATCATCATTGCGTATTTACCAATACATCTGATTGTCCGCCAATTTAGTGCTTTGAAATTATACCAGGTCAACTAAAACGATACTAAGTCATATAAAGCGAAATATCGTTATAGAAAAATCCAACTAATGCCAAAAGTACGTAATTAAAATTGATCAAAATTTGAATGATATTTATGAAACAACAGCAATACATGTAATGAAACGGATACAGAATCTCAATCTGATGACAACACTTCAATTGTCTCTGTAGTATCTTTACCACGTAGCATCTCTATAAATTCAACTGATAAAATTATAATTTCAACTATTCCAACGAAAGTGAATCAAAGATCAGTTATGTCATCACCGTCATTGTCGTCGCCGTAAATTGTGCTCGAGAATCCCTATGCCATGTAATGAAGTGATGCATAATATTTAATAATTATAAAATACCTTTAACACTAAATTCCAAAAGGTCTAATGCTAACAAAATAAAATCATTATAACAAGTGCAAGTACGACTTAACAATAAAAGAAGTCTCAGAATATTTTTATTATAGTCGAAAAAACTAAACTCGTAAGATATTTTAGTAAGAATAGAAGCACCAAAGTGAATATTGGCGTTCATTCGAATTTTTTACACCTGTATATAGTAATAGTCGCTCGGTAATAGTAAATTCATTACACAAATCACAAATCTGTCGTAACCAATACGTAATGAACGTGAATAAGTTGATTCAGTCGATTTGATAGAATCGAGTTTTCTTTTATAAACTAAGACACCGATATTATTGTTAAACAAAAAGATACAAACTAAAGTTATAGACGAAATTAACGCTGGGAAATTTTACATGAATTACATACTACAATGCTATTCATAACAATATTAATCGAGACAATATTTTTTCACTCCTTTTCCAGCACTAATTTCAAGTCATACTACGGAATTTGCATGAGAAATTAATTATATATCCGTGATATCGTCCTGAAGAATTGCCATCTTTTTTTAATAACAATTTATTAGGGAAGTGTCTTTATCAGGTGATTTCCATTTATTATAAGGCTTACCCCCTCACACCTGACATAAAATATTACAGATATATATTATGTATATTATATAATCCGATAAATCAGGTGATAAAAGACACTTCCCTTATAAATTTGATCGAAATTAATATTTTTTACAATTTGCGCGCTAAGGTTAGTCAAAGTTATAAAATGAGCTTTTCTTCGAGTCATTTCTCTATCAATTAAACAAATTATACTTTCGATACTAAAGAAAATAAATTCAATACATACCAGTACTCACTGATAATTTATTGATTTTTCAATAAAATAAAATGCGACATTCAATCCCGTCGTTGTTATCGTACAAATGGCGCTAGCTGGTGATCCAAACGACAGTAATGGCTCAGTTCGATACATAATAATGTGAACAATTCGAAGAACATTAAGTCATCCATCATGTTTTAACCGTCAAAATCAACCGATTCCAAAACTTCGGATTTTAAGCCGAGTGAATACGTAGGTGCATAAAATCTAAAGTCATCAAACGTTTGTGTTTTATAAAATGTATAAACATCTTTACAAAGAAGTAAATGCAACATTTAATCCGTGAATATGATAGAATAAGCCCTTTCTGAGCATATTCACGGATTAAATTTTGCATTTACTTCTTAGTAAAGAAGTTTATACATTTTGTAAAATACAAACGTTTGATGACTTTAGATTTTATGACCATACTACTCATAATTATTTTCAGTTAGTAATTTGTAACCTGTTTTTTCAGTAAGTCGGTGTTAAATATAATATAATCAAATGATTTGAATTTTAATATACATGTGCTACAATAAATGATTTGTTTTTTATTTTTATATTATAAATCTGTTTGTAATACATGTAATAATCAAAATTAGAACTTGATTTGCTTAAAGAGTGAAAACATAATTCGGTTTATATTCGATTCAATAGTTATTTTTTGAATCGCAGTTAGTAGAATTAATTTTTACTAAAGTACGGGACAGCATAAGATATCCAATTTTAATTACCTTATAAAAGTGTTATAACTTTTGAATAAATTGTTAAATAAAAAAACCTCTTCCAAATTGATAGTTTTTTTTAGTAAACAACATTTTTGAAAGAGTATTTTTTTATTTTATTTTGATAGTGATATAATAGTTTAAATATTGTCTACTTTATATATGAGCTGAGAATTTGGCGCACGCTCATGCAAAGCCTTATAATTTTTGAACCAAGAATTAAAATATAAACATTTTCTTACAGATTGATAGCTCTTTATTAAAGCTATAACTTGGTAAGAGGATTTTTATTTATTTGCTCTAGTTTTGATGAAGTTATAAATTTTAGTTTCAGAAAATTTTAAATATAAAATCATTATTTGATTGGCTAGTATTAAGCCATGTAATAAAACATTACTATATAATAATTATCAAAATTTGGCGCTTCTATAAAATTGGATATCTTATGTTGTCCCGTACTATATACATGTATTTTTATTCAAAATAAATGTTACTAATTTATGAGATTTTTATGTTATACATTAATAAACTATCGAAATTAAAATAACTATAAAAAGAAAAAGAACTTATTTGTTAATTTTTCGATGATTATGAATATCGGAACAGGGCCTAGTATAAAGAATTTCAGTAAAGATGTTATTTAGAGTAGTGTATTTGACACACGTTAATAGGAAATTTAATATGAATATCTCTTTCTAAACAAGTATAATGTCTTTAATTTACTTTTGCATATCTATGTGATAGCAAAATGCATTTCCGAATCATGAGCTCTGGCACAATATTTACTGTAAAAGAATTCTGAATCCGTGTTGAATACACTTAGCCAATTTGAATCGAGATGTTAACCCAGACAGCGGCATTTTTCTCATTTATTTATTCCATTTGAAATTACATAGCAATATTGAGCATCGAAATTTCTGACTCTGCTGATTTCTGATGTTATCTGCTGATTTATATTGGTTCACTCATGATAATAATTACATTATCCTTTGATAATCTCAAAAAACATTTAAATGTCTTACTTTCATCTTGTTGTGTTCCTATATCAAGATATAATTTTCTATTAGCATTTCTACCCTCTGTGATTTCAAATATTACTCGAATATTTTTCTCGTCAAATCCTTCAAATGAATTAATTTGGAACTTCGTAATCCATATCGATATGTCCGAGCACTGTGAATATCTTTAGAATTTATCGAATAAAAGTCATACTGGCGAGCTTTTAACTTGATATTATTAAAACACATAACAAATTTGTTGCAGTAGTTAGTGATGCTGGATCTAATGTGATTCTTGCACAAAATAATATTTCTGAAATGTATCCACAAATATTAAGTGTGCATTGTATTGCACAGGCCTATTTGTAAGCTATCTTTTGCTAATTGGGTTTAAAAAGGGCCATTTAGCAGGTAATATCCTAATTTATTTATTTACAAACTTCGAAAAATTATGCTGACAAATATTGAATTGAATGTGGTCAGTTAAAAAAATGGGTAGTATTAGAAAAGATATAATATTTTAGATTTATTTTTATAATATATAATAGTAATGTAATTTATCTACAGATGTGCAGTTGCATTTACACTTCATCCAATTAAAAAAAAGTATCACTACACTGAAATCACGACATCACACATTAGCGGATTATTTTTAGGATTGGTGCGTCTAGGTGCTGCAATAAAGAGATGGTCACTGAACTTTTAGACTAGAATGCATTCAAGTTTTCAATTGTTGTTTCACCGAATTTGATGATGATACATGTACATGTGTTTCTTATAAGATTCAAGTATTTAAAATTCATTTTATGTATGCACATGCACATTTTTTATAATGCAGATTTAAAAAATTATGTGTGTATGTGCAAAAATTACACATGACAATAACTTAAAATTACTATACTTTTTTCTTCAAATAATAAAATTACGCATTGGAAAACTTTAACCACTACCCCATGCATATTAGAAACAGAATGGTGGCGCTTTAGGATAAATTTTGTGTGTGATTGTACGTATAAACTAATTTTATGCTGCATGAATATTGTGATGTAATTTTGGAAATTTTATGGTACATTTTCAGAAAATTGTAATATTATGTGTATTTTATAAAATGAGTTTGCAGTTAACACTCTGTAATTAACCTCTCTAATAACAATACCTCTTTATTATCGCAGCATAAATTTCACTTGGATTAATATATTGATATATCAACAAAAATGCCTGGTCCAATCATGAGAGGGTTAACTGTATTAATATAAATACGTACGAATTTAACTATTCTGATTAAAATATGTCATTATAAGTCATTTATGCGATTAATTAGATAGATTTGGATAATCATTATCTAAAAAATTATAAGGTTAAAGGGGGATGGAGGATTGTAGTGTTTTTAATATTATAAGACATTACCAATATATTTTTAAAATATAAATATATACAAGTCTTAAGCGCATATTGGCAATCTTACCATATTTTATCTTTTTTTATTTATGTTTTAAGCATATTTTTTTGATCCGCCACGAATCCACCAGGGCGACCACCGAAATTTCGGGCCACGTGACAATTTTTTAATGATATCAGCGATATGACCAATTAAATTGCAAGATCAACGTGTTGTTACCGTAGTAACATAAATTTCTCTAATTCGATAATCTTCCTTTGATTATGTGAAATTCCCTTTTTCTTAATTTTTATAATTTATAATCTCATTATTATTATTTTTATCCAATCATATAATTATCACTTTATATTATTACTCTAAATCTTATATTTATACCCTAAATATTATATTTATTCCCTTTTTCTTATTTCTATATACTTTTATTACCCTAAA